TGTGCAGAGACGTGCGAGCGAAACACTGATACACGACATAGCTAGCTATCGCAGGCTCGCAATCCGCTTACGTACGTAGCATGGCAGTGCCTCTTCCAGTATGTATATAGTTCAGTGGTCTCCGCCTTGGGGCGGCGCTGTTTTTTGCTACTTTCTCCTATCTGGCGGAGTTCATTCAAATTAATCATATACCACTTGTTTAACCATTGTCTATCTTTTGTGCGTAAAACAATCAAAATAAAAACACACATGCTCGTGTACCACCGGTGGCTCAGCCTGCCTCATGAGTCGGACAACAATGTACCACCGGTTGTACAACCTGTCGCGAACGTGATAATCATTATGCTTATACATTCGCACGTTTCGTACACGCACTCAGTCGTAATCGATCGTTTGTACGCCAAACATCCTGGTGTCACGCACACACTGCATTTACTCAACTTTCTTACTTTTATCTCACACATTCTCATACACTCGAGCATAAAACATACACACAGCGTAAAGCTTTAAATGAGCGTCATTTATACTGCGGACAAACACGTAACGAGCGCGCACACTGTCAGTCGCTAACTCGCGCATTCAAAAATCTCACTCTAGGGCATATATGTAATACTCCTATATTGCTAGTACGGTGCCGACCTGAAGCCACATGTTACGGTGCAAACAATATAGTAGCCTCTTTCTCCAGCTGCTTTGTGCGCATGCGGTGAACATTCAAGCACGTTTGGGCATTTCTCTATCTTGCGTTTTTTCCAATACTTTGTCTCGATCGCACTCGCTTAGTAGACGCGCCTGCGCATAATGACGCTCGACTATCTATGCCCATATTTGGATTTCGTGCGTCTCCCTTTCTCGGGCCTCGTGCCTCTCATTGCGAAGATACGCGACTAGCAATATAGGAGTATTACATATATGCTCTAAGGTGACGCACACACACAGGAATAAGGATCCAAACCATAGAGCTTATACTAATAGAGAGGCCATGCCTATATGCCATATTTTTTTTTTTTTTACTTGAGGAAATGCTCGCGCACTCCCTGACTCCCGGAGGAGAGCCAGGGTAGTGTGGGACTCAAACCCATTAAAACCCCAAGGTGGTCCTCCAGCACGCATAGAGGGAAGACCTGGAAAGCCTAAGAGGCTATTACTTCCCGATCTTCCCTCCCGTGCACCCGCGGCAAATAGCCGCAAACTTCCACTAAACTTGGTGAGAAGGTGGGACCACCACATCTCCTCACCACTTCCCGTGGAAACCGCGTGCAATGGCCGAGAGGAGCCCCCGCTTCTCCCTTCCTGCGGTTTCCACTTGCTGGTCTTCCGGGTGTGACCCTCGTAGTACCGAAGGACGCCCCCGGAAGATGAGCGTAGAGAACTCCCTTACTCTTCGGAGGAGGGAGATTGTTGTCTCCTTCTCCGAACGCCCCGTGTTGGCTGGCCTTGTCAGGCCCTTTCGACATCCTCTTTGGTCGACATGACGGACGTGAAAAACTTCTCCACTGCCCGCCATGCGCTTAGATCTTGGAGCATTTGTTCCACCACAGCTGGGAGGGACAAGTCTTGCCCTACGGCAGCTCTAAGAGCAGCCCTTTCCTCGTCCCATCTGGGACACTCGGCCAGCGTGTGCTGGACCGTGTCTACAGTTCCCCCACAGTGTTCACACATCGGGGAGTTGACCCTCCTGATCTTGAACAGATAAGATCCAAACACTCCGTGCCCCGTCATTATCTGTGTCAGGTGGAAGNACAACTGCCCGTGTGGCCTCTCGAGCCATTGGTCCAGCACANGCCGCACTGCNTNCANNACCCTNTTGCCNCANACNGACCGTTCTAGGCGCTCCTTCCAGCGCCTGATTATTTCCCGCCGTGCGTGCAGGCGGAGCTCGTTCTCCGCATCGGGCGGAACTTGAGCTCCTCGCCTCCTAAGTTCTCGGACTCCCCGGAACACTTCTGCCTGCTGCCAGGCCAGCAGCTCGGCCGGGGGAACTCGGGCCAGGACTCGTGCCGCCTCGAGCGANACCGTCCGATACGCCCTTATCACACGTGTGGCCGCCATCTTTTGTACCCCCGCAAAGAGGGTAACAACCCGGCCCCTCAGCTCGTCGTGCCACACGGGTGCGCCATACATAAGTACGGAGTGCACGACGGCTGAGTAAAGCTTCCGCACGTGTTCTCGGAGTCCACCGAGGTTAGGGAGCAGTCTCCCCAGTGTTGCCGCAACTTTCCGGACCTTCTCGGCGGCGTACTTAAAGTGGGCCTCAAAGGACCACCTCCCGTCCAGCATCAAGCCCAGGTACTTGATGCTGGGTTGCGTTACCACGTGGACACCCTCCACCGCAACTTCCACGGGACCGCCCGCTCTTCCCGGGGGGCAAAACATCAAGGCCTCCGTCTTTTAGGCAGCCAGTTTCAGGCCCAGCGTCGCTATATGCCGCGACACTCTAGCAACGGACTCACTGGCACGGAGCGCAGCCTCTCTTCCGTCCCTGCCTGCTGCCAACACCAGAGTGTCGTCGGCATAACAGACGACGCTGCACAGCGGCGGCAGCTTGACACCCAGAACGGCGTCATAGCCGACGTCCCACAGCAAGGGCCCCAGGACAGACCCCTGAGGTACCCCGCACGTAACCTTGTGGGACCTTAACTTTCCGTCTCGGCACGAGTACATCACGTACCTGTCCGAGAGGGAATCATCCAGGACGGCCTGCAAGTAAGTTAAAAGGTTTCAACCCCGCAGAGCCGCCCGGATAGCCGGCCACGACAAGGTGTTGAACGCGTTCCGTATGTCGAGGCTGACCGCAACGCATGTTCTACCCCGCGAAGTGTGGCCCCCGACGATCTCCCGTACGCACAGCACTGCGTCGCACGTGGAGAGCGCCGGTCGGAAGCCGAATTGCCTGGGCGACAGCCCACCTCCCTCCTCGAACCAGGCTTTTAGCCTGCCCGCCAGGACCCGCTCGAAGAACTTGCCCACCTTATCCAGAAGACACAACGGTTTGAACGACGAGGGGGCGCCCTCCGGGCGGGGTGTCTTGGGGACCAACACCAAGCGCGCTTGTTTCCACGCGCGCGGGAAGACTCCCTTCTGCAGGCACCGGGTAAAGCAGCGCGCCAAACGCTGTGGTACTAGTCCGGCCACTCGGGCCCACACGGCGCACGTCAGGCCATCTATTCCGGGGGCCGTTTTATGTCCGGCAATGCGGCGCACCACGCCACGGAGTTCCTCCACAGTAACCTCGAACTCCGGCTGCCACAAGAAGACTAACCCTCGTGCAGGAGCACCCTGCTCTTCACGACTTGGAAACAGAGTTTCCACCATTTGACGCGCTCTGTCCACTTCCAGCGTCTCCGTTATCGGCGGGCCCGTCGGGCGTAGGCGGTTGAGGACAATCCGATACGGCCTGCCCCCCGGGTCGTCGTCCAAGGTCTGCGCAGTGTGCCCAGTTTTGACTCTCTTACAGCACGCTACAGCAAGTGGAGGGGATACGCACACAGGCAAGCAGCCGTGTACGTGTGCGCTCGACGCTTCGGCCGTCTTCGGGCGGTAGAAGAGAACAGAGATATGTCTACTGTCTCTTTCTTTCAACATAAACATAGCGTACGCGGCTANCGCAAGCGGCTAAGCCTCGCTCTAGCAACTGTATATCAATTTTCGGCGTTTGCTCGTTCTTGCACTTATTACTTATAGAAACATTTCGATTTAATAAAAAAATATTAACATCATAAAAGAATAATTAGAAAAATGAAACATATGAG